CCGCTTTTTCCCCCCGCCTTCTCTCCGTTTCTTGCAGCCCCCCCCCCCCCCCCCCAAAATGCGTTTGAAGGCTGTTTCTAGTCTTGCAGATTCTTCAGGGACGTGTTCCTTGGTGGTACTTAAGATCAGTCTATTGGCTGATCCAGAAAACCAGGTGGGAAAGTCTGTGCAAGTCTGATAGAGCTGAGTGAAGATGTTTTCCAGCCTTAGTAATGCCATACCAGTTACCAGCCAGACTACTCCCAGCCTGCGTTTTAGGCTGTTATCCATGAAGCATATTGTCTGTTAAATTCTTCAGGGACGTGTTCCTTGGTGGTACTTAAGATCAGTCTATTGGCTGATCCAGAAAACCAGGTGGGAAAGTCTGTGCAAGTCTGATAGAGCTGAGTGAAGATGTTTTCCAGCCTTAGTAATGCCATACCAGTTACCAGCCAGACTACTCCCAGCCTGCGTTTTAGGCTGTTATCCATGAAGCATATTGTCTGTTAATCAGTCCTGTTAAAACTATATTTGGCAGCTCTGTATCTCAGCCATTTCCAAGCTGCGGATCATGGAGGGCGTTACAAACTTCAGCCAGACATGTTTACATGATACTTTTTTTTTATCACAGACGTAATGTGTGAGCCGTACCAAAGGGTTCTGCCAAGTTTGATGTCCATTAGAACTAGTGAACGTTCTTAGCTGTGCAACTTGAGTCTTGTTGCAGCTTGTTGCAGCTCCAGATTCAAATATAACCATTAGGTACTACCACTGTCTTTATTTTTAATTAATCACTAATTGATGACCCAGAGTAGAATATGTGAAGCACATAGCTGAATTTCTTTGTCATCATCCACACAGACTTGATGAAAGAGTTATCCAAATAGATACTGACCCTGGTAAACACACGCAGCGGTGGGGGGGGGGTATGAAAGCAGTAAAGCGTATTACGTTGTACGAAGCTTAAAAGTACGAGAGAAGAGGGAAGTGCAGTATCTGGTGAACACAGCTGCGTAAGGCTTCTGACTTGTGTACAAAGGGTGCGCGCACAGAGTGGATCTGTATAGTCAGTAATGCTTATTAACTTGTTCCTGAGAAGTAAGTACTCTTCTCTTTTACGCCTGTGAAATTTCCCCTCTAATGATCTTATTTTTAATGTTGATTTATTTCCTTGTCGTTCTTTCTAGCCAATTAGCAATGCTGATTTCATCGTTCCTGTTGAAATTGATGGAACCATACATCAGGTAAGCACTGTTGTTCCTTTAGCGTTGTTCTAGCAGTGGAACTGTCCTCAGTGTCCCAGAGCGTTATCTTTCTCCATTTGCTGCTCTACGTTCAATGACTTGTCCTTTTGCAAAATACAAAAGCTGTGTACTCTGAAACGTAGTGTCCAGACGGGCATCCCTGTTTGATCAGGTATGTAGTTTCTAACTACTAAGTCTCGATCTCTAACTTTTTCAGTTCTTCAGAATATCTCCCTCAGGACTTCAATGCTCGACGCTTTGTCAATTTTAAAACATTTTCTAACAGGAAGTTACCTAAGGATGGGGTTTCAAACATTGCTAGGCCCAGAAAAAACTACTTGAATACTGCATTTCTCATTCCTTCCGCAGGCAAACAGGACATAAGTTGGCTTTAATGTCTGTTGGTAGTTCATATAGACAAAGCTTTATAAAAGTATTAAGGAAGAACAGACATTTCTTCAGTTTCTGTGGCAATCTATATTTAACTTCTGTTCCCTTTTCTTCCTGTAAGTAATTAAAGTTCCTCTGATAGGACTTTTTATACACTTCAGCATCTTTAAAAGGTCCGGACAAAATTGCAAGGAGACTAATTTTTATGTCTTATTCTTTAAGGACTTCACTTAAGGCTCTGTGAAATGGCTTTCAGTAAATGAAAAACACCCCTAATTTGAAAATGAGTCCCCTTCATGTGTCTTAGCTTCGTGTCTTTAATCAGTAGTCATTTCTGAAAACGTTGAATGAAATGAATTACGGTGCCATAAATTTTCCTCTTCAGACAGACATTAAAGTTACTGCTGGAGACGGGTTTTACTGGTCAACGTGAAGCTGAGCATTTCTGATATATGAATCTTGAAAATTGTTTGAAACATCCTCTATTGGTTGTTGTAGGTTAAAGACAGTGCAGTTATTGAGTTGCAAATCTTCCCAGGATGTGATTCAGTGGAGATATTAAATACTTTAATTTTTTAAATGTTGTCTTTTTTATGGATTATTTTAATATGTTCGTATTTTGATCTTGGAACAATGACAGATCATAAAGTTAGTTCATAGTTTTGTTTGATATCCTGTTATGAAAACCATCCATGTAATTGTCACTCTTAAAATAATTACTAAATATCAGCCAGTGGACTGAAATGTGTTTTAAAGTGATAGTTGCTTTGACAGTTTTTACACTGTGTCTGTTTTATGTGGAAAACTTCAATATCTAGGGTACTTAAACCTGTAATGTTCACCAGAGCTGAATGCTTAAAATACGTAAGTGATGTTTTGGGACATTTATATTGTGATATTATCTGTCGTCATTTGGTGTGGGCTTTAATTGTGTTTGGTGCTGTAACGCAGACATTTTCTCTCCTAAAACTTTCTAGAATGCTTTTGAAAGGGAATAAAACAGATTGCCTAACAATTTTGAATGGTTTAGGATTGTGATCACTTAGCTTGTCAAGATTATATATTTACATTTTGAATCAAAACCCAGTAAAAGAATATTTGGGTTTTACAGTCAAGCACTTCAAAAGCCTGTTGCTTTTCCATTCCCCGCTGCAAACTTTCAGATTCTTCACCAAACGTAATGCAATTAGGCACTCAAGACGACTGCGTGTGGGAGAAAAAAAAAGAAAACAAAAACAACTGGTGAAAGGGAGTAGATTTGTCCATACCCTAAAGGTGAACAGGAGGAAGGCTGCTCTTGACAGAGGAGGTCAAGTGAAGTTAGTCTCTGGCTGTGCTTTGCTGGAGACTTTCTGCATAGTTTTCAAGGAAATTGCTTAATCCCTTTGTATTTCAAGTTTGTAACCTCTAAAATAGGTAAAAATCTCAGTCACAAATGGGTGGTTGAAGTGAAGTTAATTGTAAGGAATTTGTGATCCTTGAAGTAAAGGTAATTTATATGGCATGCAGAGCAGGCAAAGTCTTGGGTTGCTGTCTTTGGAATACCTCTGCAGGCAAAGTAATGTACTATCAGCCAGCAATTTTTTTATTTAACTGTGATAATCTGAAGGGCGAAAGCGGGCATTCTGGCTTAGTCCGAGCGTTAACACAGGCTATAGAGCTTTGACAACCGGTTCCCACTTCAAACCTGTGATTTTTTTTTTATTCACTTAGAGCATAAACTGAACAGATATCAACAATTTTTGTTATCCATCAGAATTTGTTATCTGTGCAATGCTTGTCCATTTTCTTAAGTAGTTTATATACTCAAAGGTTAATGATTGGCATTGGGAAATACTTCCACCTGTTCAAAATACCACGGGATATATGCAATTTTGTGGAACCCTACTGTCCGTAGTGCGTATCCCTACCTGCTTTACCGGTAAGCCTGGTATCGTATCGAGCAGGAGATTGTCTGACAGAGTATTGTGGTACTTGAACTCCACCTTAGGCAGAACCTCATGGAAAACAAATGGAGAACACCATTTCACAAGTGCCCATTCAGAAGGAATTTGAAATTATATGAGATTCTTCAGATCTCATATACTAAAAATACGAGCTGTGGCAAATTCAATTGCTGTACGCTTGAAAGAATTTTGAGACTGACTTACCTAACAAGTTTTGTTCGTGGTAAATGTTGTAATTTTTTGTTGTGCAACAGAAAAAGGCTGTCTTTAGTTTGGGGAGTTTATTTTCCCTTATGTCATTTATAATCCAAAGGTCAGAGCGG